AATTTTCAAATTTAACTAGGAACATAGTAAAGAACTAAAGGGCTGATGGAAGTATTGGGATCTAGGGATTTAGGGATATTTGGAGATCCAGGGATATTGGGGGGTCTAAGGATATTTGGGGATCTAGGGGTACTTGGAGATCTACGGATATTTGGGGATCTAGTGATATTTGGTATCTAGGGGCATCGAGGGATCTAGGGATATTTGGGGGTCTAGGGATATTTTGGTGTCTAGGGATATTTTGGAATCTAGTAATATTAGGGTCTAGTAATATAGGGACATCGGAATGGAGGAATATCGAGATCTAATGATATCGGAATCTAGGGACATCAAGGTATAGGAATATTGGGATCTAGGGATATCGAGGTATAGTGACATCATCGAGGTCTAGAGATATCGATGTATAGTGACATCATTGGGGTCTAGGAATATCGAGGTATAGTAACATCATCAAGGTCTAGAGATATCGATGTATAGTGACGTCATTGGGGTCTAGGAATATCGAGGTATAGTGACATCATCGGGGTCTAGGGATATCGACATCAGAAATATTGCTACGGATCTTAAAAATGCTAAAATCTGAGGATATAATGCCATCCTATGTGTAAAAATATTAAAACTTGCAAAATCTAAATGTGTATATAATTATGGATTTTAAATACCATGTAAGTTTTGTAAATTAAAGGTTTCATTTAAAAATTTGAGCGTGAGTTACATAATACATTTGAGAGGTCTGGATCACGATTAACCCGATTCCGTAATTGCGGAATTGACACAAGCATGCATGGAACTCGTAAGATGAGCGTTTTTATTAATCCTTTAAAGTTGAAACGAAAGTTGTTGGTATGCGGATTCGACCAGTTCGATGAAATCATGTGGAATAGAAGAAAGCTTCTGAATCTAATTGGTGAGTAATAGAAGGTCAAGGCTGGAGTGACACCGCGGCGACACGCAAGATTCAGCGAGCCGTCGCGACACTTATCTTCCCGTTTCTTGCGTTAACGCTTCAAGTCCAACTTATTTTTTTCTGTTTTTTTAGATAATCGAGTGTTTATGAAACACTGCCGCACCGCACAGAAATAGAAACATTAACACATGCATAGATAAATTGATCGTAGTAGTTTCTTTTCATTCAACCGTTTTTGGTTATCTTTAAAGGTCAATCACCTTAAATACCATTTCAAATTCATTCTAGGTCACTGAGAGTAATTATAACCGTCCATTAACCAACTTCAAGTAATAATGCAAAATATAACGAATGTAACGTAATATATTGAGTAACAGCATTATTCGTCTACATGACTTATCTTTATTATTGCAGACAGTTTTTATATCCTACAAATATAATTTGCTGTGTAACGCAACTAACAAAGTCTTCCGACTTCAAAAATGACATTGCAGCACTGCACGATATTTCGGTAAATGCAACAATAACACGCGAGCCGATCATTATGAGCATCGCTGCTAAGGTGACTGCATGTCATCACTGGGTGTGGGTATATACCATATGCCGTATGGTCACTGTATACTATAGGACAGTGGTGGCCAAACCTTGTCACGATAGGGATCATATATCACCCATTAGGAATACTACAGCGTAAGCATTCTTTATACTTCCTAAACCTTTGTGGTCAAGACCACGAGCTTATAATGTGATTTTAGAGACCCAAAGTTTAGGAATTCCTAAGTTCCAAAATCTCAAGGTTCAAAATTCCAAAATTTCATAGTCCCAAAGGCCCAAAATCTTAAGGTTCAAAATTCTAAAATTTCATACTCTCAAAGCCCCAAAATCTCAAGATTCAAAATTCCAAAATTTCATAGTCCCAAAGTCCCAAAATCTCAAGGTTCAAAATTCCAAAATTTCATACTCTCAAAGTCCCAAAATCTCAGGGTTCAAAATTCCAAAATTTCATACTCCCAAAGTCCCAAAATCTTAAGGTTCAAAATTCAAAAATTTCATAACCCCAAAGTCCCAAAATCCTAAGGTTCAAAATTCCAAAATTTCATACTCCCAAAGCCCTAACATCCTAAACTCCAAAGTTTCATAATTCTAAAATACCAAACTCCCAAAATCAGTCAGGCCCTCCTAAAAAAAATATTCAACTCAAGTGCCCTCTGCAAGAGAAAGTAAACTCTTCCTATTTACAAAAAGATATAGTAAAGGGTAGCCGCCGTTTGATCACCTTGCCTACAGACTACACGTCGTGAAATGCTAGAAGAGAGTCCACATTGGTCCTGCAGCACGGTCTGCCATTTGAATATCCCGTTTCCACCAGTTTCGGTATGCAACCAGTGGTGCTGGCGGAAAGATCAGATGATGTTTTGAAACGTTCATAAACATGTCGGGGTTAAATCGTGATCACGTGGATATAGTTTATCAGCGTTATAGTTTTCCCGTGCTTTTCCGTCGTTCATTAATACGGCTATAGGTCAAGGATTATTGACACGGCGAACCTGAAAAGCACGGGTAGAATGCAAAGCGTAGTATAGTCAGTCAGGTGGTTGTGTTTACATTAGAAGATTGCGAGCAGTATCCTTTCGTGCTGGCTAATGATTATACGTTGCTTGCAGTGACTAATTCTTCGAGGAAGACCCGCGAGTGCTAACGAGAAGAACCTCAGCAGCACCCTTGACTACTTTTCCTGTTCGCTCGATTGATTTTATTTTTAAATTTCGCGCGTCTGATTCATCGCTACTATTATACAACTGTTAATCTTTCTGTTTTTCAAATTGATAATTTCCCAGAAGCGTTATCAGAACTTGTATTAAAGAGAGAAATGATTTCGTAAAATAAAGTGAAATATGTAAGCACATGTATTATTATGGTAGAAGTTTGTTATAGTCTTCATGGGCCGTGCGCCAATGTTTCATACAACATTGCCAGTACTAACAATAAACAGACAATTCTTGTATTTCGAAAATCATAAATATTTGTATAATTAGTTCACGTTTATTTTATACCGTTTAAATATCAAACATAATACGAACCAAATAAAAGATTTGTTCTCGCAAATAGAACAGATAAACGGGAAAAGATATTAACTGTGGTATGTAGGTATTTCGTAATACGTAGTAAAAATAAGAAGTTACCGTTTAATCGTAATTCGTAATGGTACGCGATGAAAATTAGATGAACAGTACTTGATAACAAGTGAAATCATCTTGTAACGCATTTAATGGCTGCCAGGCAATCGATGACAATTCGCTTTTGCGTACAGTTAGAAAGCGTATAAAATTATAAAACAGCATCGAATATTTCGCTTTTGCCCTAAGATTCCTAGATACTTGATCTGTTATAAAAATAGTTATAAGAAACTGCGAATATAAATTTGATCCTCGTAACACGAACTCTACGTACGTAATTATATAAAAGAAATTCTGTAATATTCCACGTTCGAAATCTACGCACGTTCGTCGATTATAAACAGGGCCGAGCGAGGCGGGCGCAGAGTTCCCCGAATCCAGGCCCCGCGCTCTAGAAAGCCCGCGATCTAAAAGAAGTTCATTGCAAAATTTTTCGGGGCTTTATTCATAGTGTCATATGGGTATGAATACCTCTAAAAGTTTTAAGTTCAGTAAACTCCCGTTATATCACCCCATTCACACAGGCTTGTACACGTGCTAATCGCACACCCCTCTTATCGTAGAGCACAAGAATTCGCGAAGACAGCTTAGCGCGATAACGAATCTTCCGTTGGAAATACCTTGTGGCTAATCCAGTGTATTAATTCCACAAATTGGAAATAGCGAGCGAAAATAATGTAATAAACAATCTACTAATACATAAGTACGTCTTTTGCCTTCATAAAATGTTGAAATCCTGCATCGAGAATGTTCGCTGATTGTAAAGATGTAATTATTAGATTCAAAGATACTAACGATATGAAATATTCGTATGACGTCACAATTCCCTGATTGTGTGAGTACGCTAAAGATAAGGCACGTTTGCTCGTTTCTTTTACGAGCTAATGAAAATTAACGGTTCCAAATGATTTTACCAATCGTTACGATATAAAATATGCATACTTCTCACGCCTTTACCTTAAACACGTGCGAAACGAGAAGAACAATTTGTGTCTTATGAGGAACGAAAATGCTTGTTTATGTACGATGGAATGCAGATACATCTGGAGTGCAAATTCCTGATGTAGTTCCGATGCCGGTCTTCGGTTTGTTACGCAGAGTACAGCTGCACCTACAGTTGTACGACCTTTCTCGTTCGAACACTCGTGCAGCCATTGCCAACCTAAGTCTAGTTCGTTTCTCATATGAAAAAAACAGCGTGATCGCTGTTGCTTAGCGTCCATATGTATTTAACAGACTCTTACTTCGGGTTGTCACGATAATGTACACATATGCATGACCGTTTGTGGCGTAGATTACAACAAAATGAATTTTGAGCACGTCTGGTTGTCGTGCCGATTTGCATTCCGCCGCTATCATGACTTGGTTTTCTTGATATTGACAGCTCACCCCATATTATCATCGTAGCTACCATCGCGTTGACGTAAATAAAAACACACTGACACTGTCAGTCTAGCTATAACATCTAAATACATATACGAGATACTCGTGCACTCGTGTGTGTCATGATAAATGCGCATCAGGGGCGGATGCATTCACGCCTTTTCAATCTCTTTAATACATTTATGATTATACAACTTAATATTATAAATTGAAGAAAACAAAGGTACAAATATTAATTTGCATGGTAATAATGAATATAAAGTTGTATAATCAAAGACATTTTCAGTTATTTTGGACCATTAAAATTTTTCCTCAAATGTCACTTCAAAATCAATGTTGCGCACCGCGAGTGCGCGGAGTATGTTACAAGATGCGAGTTATATCGTAAATATAAATTTCGATTATACCAAAGCTTCAAATGATAATTATATCAATTTGTTGTTGTTCGTAAGTGCAGGGTTCTTAAGTGCATCAGTACGATATTGTTTTACGATTGCCCGGACTTTGCATCCCTTTTGTTGGCAGCAGTGAGTAGAGTAGTATTCAGTGCGTCGTGCGAGAAGCAGTCGAGCTTGGCGAGGTCGCCTTTTGCGTTGGCACGGAGGTTCCTCCGTGCGTGTTTTTAGTTGCAATCCCGGACCGAGAAAACCCGTGTACACACTTGTCTCTGTGTTCATCGTAATGTGCTACGGGTAAAAAAAAACGAAAGTGACGAAGTGTGATTTTGTGCGTTAACGTGTAGGGCGTAGCCAGGCATTGTGCAAAATCGCTCGAAAACGAGCGACGACAAATCGGTGCGTGACAGTCTGCGTCTGCCATTGGAAAGGATATCTTGTTGTCTTTTTCACACTCAGTGGCATTTTGCGTATTCGTGGGTTCGCTGCATCATCGTCATCCTTTCTCTCTCTCTTTCTCCTATCTCTTTTTTCTAGCCCCTTGTTCTGTAATACTACTGCTCGTCGTACTACGTTATACACATACCGTACGGACGAAATTGAAGACGATCGACGCATGGTGCAGTACCAGCCGCAACAAACTTCCGAATTTAAGTACGAGGTAAGCTTACTGACATTTGCATTTGTTCCATCGTTTCGTAAAATGGAAAAGAGGATTCTCTACGTTCGACTGATTTGATAAGGTAGAAATACACGAATAAAGGGAGAGGCACAACATGGTCTATGGGGGTGTGGATACCATTGGCTGTCAGTATAGAGGTAGAGCTTTAGTTTCTGTGCTTCTGGCACACCCATTGCTGCGCGATCGCTGGTCAGCGTGTGAATACGAACCGAGCGGAAGGACGAGACCCTGAGTAAAAGAGGGAGAGTAAAAAGCCGGCATACCACACCTTAGACTTCGCTCCATTTTCCTCCTTATTGAATTATTTCTCTCCCAGGGATTTCACTCGGCCGGTTGCTTCGTCGATTAATCTCGCGGGAAAGGAAAACGTTTCGTACGATTTCTGGCACGATAACGCGCGAAATTGTTTCACGTACATAGATATAGATCTTAAATATTCTTTTTTCTTTCTCTCGTTGAAAAAGGCTTCCGTTTTTTCTTTTTCCCCGTTTGAAATTAGAACGAGGATGGAAGGAAAAACAAGCGAATAACCGAGGATTTTTCTTGAGTACTCTGCGCGCCACGGAGTAGGGAGCAAAATTCTGACGTACGCTTTGTTCCGACTGGCATTCAACTTTCTCGTACCAAGCACGAGTTTCACGCTCCTGTCACGGTGCCGCTTTGCGTAGTTGGTCATCATTGCGCATTTCTAAAACATCACTTTTTCACGAAATTTGCATTTTTCCGAAACATATGTTTGTCGTTCGAATTTCGCTTCGAACGGATATTGCTATCAATTCGTTGTTCCCGTGCTTTGTACGACTATCAGTTTTACGATTCCGATGCTACGTTGTTTATGATCGGGATACTGATCAACGGAATTTTAGATAGCGAGGCATGCGTTCGAATCGTATGATCTTTTTTACTCGCACGCTATTTGAGTGTTTTAAACCAATTGTCAGATTAAAATTTAATCGCAACGCTCGAACTCCAATCGTAATATGATTACAAAGTAGCACGATTGACTTCTTATGTAAACGCATAATACTCTATTTTTGTCTTCTTACTTTCTTTTTTTTTTAGCATTGATTCGTATTAACCCGTAAGTAGGGGTCGCAGCAACCTTTATTCTTTTAAAAAATAACTTATTTCGTTTTTGAATAAAATAATAAACAGAGCTGCCACTAAAGCTTGAGGTGACCGGGGGTTCTCAAACTTGACTAATATAAATACTGTAATAATTTTCATCTGACGTAGTGCAAATTTCATGTTATATTCGATTAATTAAACTTGTTAAGAATTTAACTCAATACAATCACAAAGTTGATTAACACCCATTGTTCTACATAATCTTCAACTCGTCAACGTCCCACGTTGAAAAAGATATGTTTTAATACATCGTGAGTGAAAATAATGTAAATTAATTTCTTCTAATTTTCGCTAAATGCAACAGTCCCTAAGGGCAGAGTCTGGTTAAGTGCCCCATTTACCCGGCACTGATGGCTGCTACTAGCAACAAATGTGATGTTACCCTTTTTGATTTCCGTAATTTTAATTCCTGAATATTTTAGCGATGTTCTGCGGATCGATATTTACGGGTTAATAAAATTAAATGTTATTTATTTACTGGTATCGTCAACAGTACATGGTAAACTTTAAAGATATGACGAATTTATTTATCGTATTTTGGATGTGACTGATAATCGCTGAAGTATCCTTTCAGACATATTTTAAACGTTTCAAAATTGCGTCGATCACGATTTATCGTCTGGTTAAATAATCGCTTGGAAAACAATGTATAATCTTTCATCGTATTTTGCACAGAGTTTATCTTTCATTATCGCATCGTTTCGAAATTTGTTTCTGATGTAAACGGTGCACAACTATTTTTGATAATTAATCGTGTTCGTAGGTGAACGATCAACATGAACAGCAGATGACTGTTAGCCGAGCTGATGCTCGTTCAACTTTAATATGAGTGAAGTAGTGGCTGTAACACCTAGTGGTGGATCGACACGCCAGGAAAGCGTGGCACACATCAAAAGGCATAAATTAGCCAACTGTAATGTTCCTCTCGTGCACGGACGTTCAAATCCACCGATCAACACCCGTAATAGGCTGACCACGCATCAACGGAATCATAGTTTGGATTTTAGGTATGTAAATCAACCGATGTATTTATGCGATTGTTCGATGTTTCCGGGATACATTTATAGTTACTGATAACGTATTCTTTTTTTGTATCATTATCTGTGTATAACCAATATTATCTATCACTTATAATAATCATACATAATACCAGATAGAATGTTATCTTATGGATGTATTAGCAGATGTAGCCGGGCTCGATCGAGGTCATATTAGTTTTGCGTACGATTCAGGTATCTCTGAGTGAGAACATATCTTGTTCAAAATTGCAGGAAAGTGGAATAATATTTATGACTGCTTCAAGATGGTTAAATTTCCACTTCTATGTTTGTTATGTAAACAGTAATAAATGTGAGATTAGGAAATTTTAATTAAGAGTTGTAAATTTCAAATTCATCTCTATATTTATTGCTACAGTAATTATTGTATGCAACAAGTTACAGAAAGGCGGAAAAAAAGCAGAATTCTTTCTTACATAATCTTTGTAATCTCAACACTTATACAGTGCTACAGATATTTATGTTTGTGTATACACATACATTAATATATCCACTAATCTTCTGTCTTCTATTTCACATGTTTATATCTGAACATCTTCCTGTATACATTATATGTAAAATTGATGTAATATAGAGTAAGAAGAGTTAGAAAATTATACAAAAAGTGTTACAATCTTTATGAGGAAATCTTAAATATACTTTCATCTCTACATTGTTGTATTTAAAGATATTCTGACCACATATCCATATTTATTAAGAAATTCTCTTTTTATTTAGAATCCTTTTTCCGTTTCAGGAGCAGACTGCATATAAACAAAACCTGTTCAGAGAAGAAATCACCTGTTGTTCTTGTTGCTCACATCTTCTTCATGAGTTATTTCATAACCCTGTTTTTAACTCTTGATCAGATCTCTATGCTCACAGTATAGTGACTCAATGTTTTCAATTTTTTTTATTCGTTGATGAAATGGTCCAGTGTCATAAATTTTCTTCAAAAAGTATTATGTTTTTCTCACTGAGAAAAATCTGTGGGTATCATTCTGTTTTGTGTAACAACCCATTGACAGTCTAAGTGACTAATCAATGAAGTATTGTTGACCAATTTCCATGGTCATGTTGACAGTACATTACGTTTTCAGTCTCCAGTTACATTTGAGTTTACACGTATGAACAAATATTATGAATGTAGAGTGAACTAAAGAATCAGAGTCTTGGTGAGAAATAATGTAAAACATTTGCCTAGTTTAGTAAACAGAATAAAAACCTGAAATTCTTAGATATTTTTTGTTTAACATTGCCAGGATTTAGGGGATATCAGGACATCAGAATTTAGAAATGTATGCCTAGATATAATACACTCTCATGTTTGGCATTTGTAGTATAGATTGTATTGAATGTTTCCAGGTCAATGGGTATCCTGTTGCCGCCTGTTCCACAGGCGAGTGCGACCACGCTGACGCATCATCATAGAAATCGAAGTCTCGATTCCGCGTTACAACGAATCCCGGAAGTGGACGTGACACCGAGTCCAGAATGCGAGACGACACCAGCGCCGGTAGCTAAAACCACGGTGCCGGCGTGCAAGGCGCGCAGCAGGGAACGCGAAGATCTCGCCAGTCTTGGCTCCGACGACTCGGGTATACTTTGCGGTTCCGACAGTGGCACCAGTGACACCACCAACGTGGCCACCAGAGAGTCAAGTGTGGACCACCTTCACAGTCGCGAGAGTCTTGATTCATCCTTGTCGCAGCCAGGTGACATGGATAGCGTGGATGCGGTGGACGGCGAGGAAAATAGTGCTCCTGTCTCAGTGTCAGTGTCTGTACCAGTGTCACCTGTGGAGTTGGTGCACTCGAGTGAACCTTCTTCGATAAAGGCTGGTGATTGTAGTGAGCCACATAAACATGAGAATGCGACCAGTAACTCCAGTTCACAGGAACTGCGGCCTGGTAATATGGTCTGCATGGTTAAAGAACTTGAAACCCATGAATACACGCCTGAAGAACAACACGACGAAATGGGCGTGACGGTAGACGTGCGGGATTTCCAAAATCCCTTACAAGTATCACCGGTGAATGATAAACAGAGTGAACTGACCGGTGCTGCTATGACATTGTGCTGCGGTACAACCGTGCAATCTGAAACTGTTGAGGCAGCTGTCAAAAAACAGACTGGTATTGTTTGTCGAAGACAAGAGACAGTTCAACCAAAACCATCTGAAGGATGTTTGCTCAGATTATTTGAGAGTCAAATTTTTGACATGTCTATGGCCATCTCTTATCTTTTCAATTCTAAAGAGCCTGGAGTTCAAAGCTATCTTGGTAGGTACATGCATATGTTAATTACTTCATATTTTAAGTTGCAACAATAAATTGTATGAAAGTTTGTATACACATATAAATATCTTGTGCTTTTGTTGCTATTATTGCATTTAGTTTAAAGAGTAATTATAATGGAATCATTATTTTTAGCCAATTCTCTGAAAATATAAATGTGTACCACTATTCTTGTTTAGTCTCATTTCTCTAGAGAATTAACCATATAAGTGACAATAGTCAAGATTGGGTAAAAATAATACAGATTCTCTTCACTTTTAATTTGTATGTTTTGTTAATGTGGACAAATTAGCTATAGCCCACAATATTTGCAAGATAATTTTTTTAGTAGTATTGCTATTAGCAATGATATTTGCTTCATGAATGAATGTAAAAATACAGAAGATAAAATTTTTTAGGGAACAAGATGTTTAGTTTCCCAGATAATGATGTGGACTTCTATTTGCCACAATTGGTTGTAATGTATATACAACTTCACGATGTTACAGAAGTTCTTTATCCATATCTTGTCCATAGGTAATTGTACATTACGAAAAAGATTGATGAAATTTTTAGTGTTAAAATTATGTACAGCTTTTAAAATGTTACAATTTTTCTATTCTAGGTGTAGGCAGTCAGCTGATTTTTCGTTAAAATGTGCCTGGCTATTAGATGCATATAGTTCTGATGCTCATTTACCATCCAAAAAGAAGTCTCATGGGACCAAACTAAAAAATCTTATTCTCTCAGATGAACTCAGGTAATAAACAAATGTGAAAAAATACAAAATATTTTATGTTTAATTTTTTTCTTTTTTTTAATGTTAGGCCAAAAGGAAATGAGAATAGAAAGCGTGTAGTTGGATTGCAAACACCTGCGCCACCGCCGTTAAGTTCAATGCAAAGTGTTACATCTCCTAATAAAAAGACACACCAAAGATCTCAATCTGATGCCACTGGATTATTTCAAACTCTTCGTCGTAGCCATTCCGGTACACAAACAATGCAAATTGATATTTTACCAATAAACTGTACAATTAAAATTAGTTAAATATTTAGCAAACCAAAATTTCACTACATGTGTGAAATTTATTTTAAGGTACAATAAATAAAGTAAGTCTTGGGGACCTGAGCTCTGGTCGAGCATTTGACAATGGTTGTACCTGTTTTTATTCCTGCCAAGGTGTGGTAAATGATTTACGAGGGCAAAAAACCGACTGTTTCTGCAATGTAATTTGATAATTTTTATCACGTTTCATAATTCTTCTTACTATCGTGATAGTATTAATTAAAAAAATGTTTATGTTTATAGGCGCCGCGTCTTGCTCCAGAACTCGAATTTATACAAGCATTAATATCAATTGGTAAATTACTTGGAACTATTCCAACAAAAGAAAGTAAAACCGTTCAATTAATAGCGGAGCTTAATACTCTCAATTTGAATCTCCCTGCAAGGGTGTGGCTTCCTTTGCACAGTTCAGTACCACATCATATCGTACGAGTGCCACCTCAATACGCTGCTGTCCTCAATAGTAAAGATAAGGTGAAATATTTTGAGAACTCGATATAATTGTACGATCACAACTGAATATTTTTCTTCGTAAAGATATATTAACACGTTTTCAAATATTTAGGCACCATATATAATTTATGTTGAAGTGTTAGAAGTAGAAGATATTTATACGTCGCCTGTACCGACGAAAATAGTGGGTTGCTCATTAAGGCATACTAAATCGGAAGAAAATTTAACAGGAGGCGAACAATCTAATGTAATCGAATCACCAAACATATCTTCTTCCGAAACGCAACAGAGTATGCCACCGATTAGACAAACTCCGGTTAAAAATATTTCTCCGTACTCCGTTAGAAATACGGAAGTCGCATTTACTTTCCCCGACGATGACCCTAATGACTGTTGGAGTCAAGAAGACGATGAAATCACGCAACAGGTATTTATTTATATAAATAACGTTTACTATTTTCTGTTGATCCAATTGAACAATTTTTAAATTTCTCTTACAGTATTTACAACTTCGTAAACCAAAAGATAGAGATACGATATCTCAATTAAGTCAAGAATCATCAGATAGTAAGGAACCAATATTTGTACCTGGTGACATAAAACGGCGTTTAAGCGAAATGGCTGCAGCGCCTAGTGCAACGTTTAATCATGATCCGGAAGATCCGTCAGCTGCCGTTTTGAAGGAACCATGGGAACTGAAACAACGTCGAATAAGAGCTTCCAGCCCGTATGGTCATTTGGCATCTTGGAGACTTCTTGCAGTTATCGTAAAATGTGGCGATGATCTTCGGCAGGAACTTCTTGCTTCTCAGTTACTTTCAATGTTGCAAAAAATTTGGCAAGATGAACATGTACCCCTTTGGGTGCGACCATACAAGTATGAACAATATCGTTGTCTTATATATTTAAAAATTCAATTGTCAATTGATGTATTAAGTATCAAATTTTATTTTACAGAATTCTGTGTTTATCAAACGATAGTGGTTTAATCGAACCAATTTTAAATACTGTATCACTTCATCAAGTGAAAAAACAGTGCCAATTAACACTTTATCAGTACTTCGAGAGGGAGTTTGGTTCATCTACGTCAGACGCATTTACTATTGCGCAAAGAAATTTTATTCAAAGTTGTGCAGCGTATTGTCTCGTTTGTTACCTTATTCAAGTTAAAGACCGTCACAATGGAAATATTTTGCTGCATCGTGATGGTCATCTAATACATATAGATTTTGGATTTATCCTTTCGACTTCACCGAGAAACTTGGGATTCGAGACCAGTCCATTTAAATTAACCCCAGAGTTTGTAGAGGTGATGGGTGGAAGCCAGTCCAAACAATTTCAAGAATTCAAAACTTTGATTCTTCAAGGGTTCATCGCAGCACGAAAGCATATGGAAAAAATAGTTAATCTCGTGGAGATCATGTTATCTGGTAAGAGTCTAAATAAAGTTAATCGATTATCAAAAGTTGATACTCAGAGTTGCCGTGAAAGTTTATTACATATTATCGTTTGTCGTTACAGGATCGCAACTTCCATGCTTTCGAAGCGGTGGTGCAGCAACCGTTCAAGGATTAAAAAACAGATTCCACCTTACATTGACGGAGGATCAGTTACGTCGACACGTGGAAGATTTAGTCGAAGCCAGTATCCATTCGTGGTCAACTAAATTATATGATCGGTATCAATATTTCGCAAATGGCACCCTTTAATAATAACATTAATTTTCGTTTGTATGGCAAGGATAATGATTTTTATAAGAAAAGCAACAAAATTTGATAATATGGTATTCCTTCCAGAAACGTTTAAACTCGTAGCATTCCGTAAGCACAAAGTATCTTTGAACCTAATTACTCGATCACGTGCGAGTATGATCGATACATAGGAAATGCTATCTAAAACATAGATTTATTCCAAATAGGATAAGCTGATTTCAGTATATTAATTTTATTTGCTCTTGAATTATTCCTTAGTTTCTTAATATAATATGATAGTTGCCTTTTATAAAACTTGTACAAATACTACGTTTATCAGTAATTAAGGATTATTTGTGAGAGGTGTTGTCTACAAAAACTTATTGCCACGTATATCTGTAAAGAGAAACAAAAAGAAACGATGAACGAAACAGGGAATAATTTATGAAATTTTTATCGTTACGTTAAGTAATATTAAATATGTATAATTGGTTTTGTTGTGTACGTTAAAATGACTATGTATGCCTTATTGGCAAGAACGAGTTAACTATGGTCGGTGCAGACTTTGTGAAACTGACTGAATGTTGGACTGCTAAATCGTTATAGCCTATAACAGCGTAATTTGTTAAAGGTGCCTTATTTGTAGAAAATGGTGGAACGATCAAATTTGAACACAGTGAAGTGACTACGTGTGTTGATCTACTGAAAAAAAACTGATCTATTATAAAAAAAAAAAGGACAATCTATAATTTGTACATAAATATATTGCATAAACTTTGGTCGAATTCCTTTCATAGTTAATTTTCGGCAATAAATAATCCCACCATGATAATATGAAGGAATTACATGGTATTTAAGGTTCGCATGAAATCTTCGAGTGAAAGAAGCGTGTATGCAAGCTCAGATATTAGCAGAAGACGAATACTCAAAAATATTTCCTACTTTATAGATTACTATTACTATAAATACGTTTAATTATAATAATTAAGAGTAACTATATAGTAAGATTTAAGGATCACATTTGAAAGTTTTTACATGTTCTTATTACATACATACATCAATAGTCATAATGCGAAATATCTTAGTTGTGTGAGGATAGTTATTTAATAGTATTTCCGCGTTAATAATATGTTTGTTTTAAGTAAGTAAATTATAAAGTAAAGGAGTATTGTATATAAAGTGACAAATTTTATCAATTATCGGTTAAGATTAATTGAGAATGAATGTTTGAAGCAAAATCAAAGTCGCAGTGAGCCAGCCCACGTATGAAATTTGGGCTCTCTGACTTCCAAGTGTCTTAACTCTTTCTTCTGTCGTAACCGTCTCATGATAGAAAGGCGGATCAGAGATCATGGAATAATTGATATTGCATAACGCTCAATACACTGCATTTTAATATTGTATGTTTACGTAATATCATCGTGCTAATTTGTTTTGTTAAACGTTTAGTGCAATTTTACCGTTTTTTACACGCCATTGTAAGTGTTCTGTCATTAATTTCATACGACAAATTTCAGTCTTCTGTACAATTTTAAACATTAACATCTCTGATTTGCCTTGTTCTTTCGCTAGCAATTATGAGCTATTGATAATATCAATTATTAAATAAATATGAAATTTAATCAAGTCTAACATTGATTGATATACCCAAAAATCCTAGATAAGAATTTTAATCCAGACTACACGCGAAGAAATAGAAAACAGGATTCAAAGATATTCAAATTTTTATTGATTGTACATTGATCGTTATATGAGGTTTTTAACTAACAACGTTAAGTAAATAGTTAATTCTGTAAATACACATGTATTACGATATCAGTCATAAGAAATTCGGGAAGTACGGATGTAAATATATAATTGATGTATATGACAATGAAAGCATAAGTATCATAAATATCACAATAAGTCATGATTACAGAGATCATACAAATGTCTTATATTCTAGAGAGCTGTTGTAATAAATTAGAAGGTAATATTGCTTCTAACTTGTCTAAAATGTAATAAAATGGATGAGAAAACCAGGCAAGCATTGATCGCGCAACTACACCCATAGTGTCAGGGTATTGATGCGTTAAAAGTGCTAAGAGTGCTGTAAAGGAGCATAGACCGGCTGTAAATAAAATAAAAAAGGGCAATTCTTTTTTCGGATATACGCTTACATCGTGGAACGAAGGTAGCAATTCGCGATCTGCGCATTCTGTACAAGTTGGATATGGATAAAATAAATGTCCTCTTTCTAAAGGATAAGGTAACATTCTGAATGTACCTTCCCAAGTGCAATGTAATAAATTAAGAGCACCCTCCATTTGTTTCCAATGAGCAAGATGGAAGAATGCATAAGCAATTGCCTCTGAATCGCCTCGTTTTAGAACGTGTTCAGGAGGTAAAATTAAAGGTTTCATTTCTAATAAATATTTAGGTACATGAGGATTAAATTCCACAGCTCTATGAATAGCTTCAACAGCTATCATTTCTGGAGTTGTTAAACCCCTTTTGCTAGCAATATCCGTCGAAAATTTATCAGCAACTACTCGTGCTTTTAACAGTGCTGCTGTATAACAAATAGTTGCTGATTTTGGTAAACTTATGTCGTCGTACTTTGCTAATACTGCCTGTACATCTGCATATGCTTGCATCTCTAATAAAGCTTCAATTAAATTTTCATGAATATTTAGTACATTCATAATTGGTGGTACTTCTTTCGTTAAATCCCTAAACATTTTTACAGCTTCTTTTAATTTTCCTAATTTTCTTGCACACATAGCTAATCTTCGCTTAATGTAAATTAATACATTTGTATCTCTTCTATGTATAGCTTCTGCGATCGATCCTTGATGTTGAGTACTCTGAGACTTCCTATAATTATTTTCTGCTACTTTTAAAGCCTGCTTTAAAATTTTTTCTGCCTCTACAATAGTAGTAGCCTCTTCCTCTGCTAGTAATATGTATGCAGGAGCACAATCAGGATTACGTTCAAGAGCACTATGCGCAGCTTTAATTCGCACTACTGGATTACGTTCTCTCCAAGCTGTTTGCATTATTTCATATTCAGCTTTACCTATTAAAACCGAACAATGAATATCTAAAGCTGACAACATGCTAATATCGTCTTTTTAAATACAGTTACCTGTATCACCTTCACAGGTAAAGAATGTTTGATGATCTTGAGCAGATAAATTCATATCATAATACGTTAATGGTTCTTTATTTGTAGCCCAATAGAATCTTTGATATTCAGCCCCTCTAAATAAATTTATTGGATTACGCCAAACTTTACACTCTGGAACATTTTGTTGATTCGAATTGGAACCATTCAAATTTGAATTATTCCCATCTGACCCACTGTCGCCTCCCCCGATCCATGGAGAAATGTGATTTAATGATACTTGTTCGATAAAGGAGGTGCCGTATTTTCTAAAATACCACCATTCAAAAATAAGAATCAATCCAGAAATTAAAGATGATGTTCCAGTAAGGGCAACATAAAATTTTGGGGTTAAGGTGCTTAAAAACATTGTAGAGTCCCACATGCTTGTGAATAATAGGGCCATTTATAATACTTCGACACTAAAAGTATTTTTCCTATTGTTCCAGGCTGCACTATCTTATTACTGTTATACAAACAGTATTAATTAATAAATGTCATAGCACGGTAAACGTTTTTACGGTGTTTTACATCACCGGGAAAGTGTAACACTTCGGGTATTTTCCTTTAATTAAGAAAAATAAAACAAGCTTTAAGGATAATTCTTAATGTTCACACATGTTTCGTTTCAATTTCGAAACAGTGCGTAACTGCTTTCATTGTACGTTGTGACAGCATTTATTTTATCTGAAGTTGCCGAAATTAGAACCCTACATTGCTACAGGATTTCAAGATTCATAGCGCTTGTTACGTTTTGTTCATTGGGTGCAACATTACTAGATAACTAGTTTCGTTCATATTGCGCACGCCTGTTCTGATTGATTCTAAATACTCCGCAATCAAAAGTAATGCGCACACTTTTCAAAAATATTTTGAAAATATATTTTTGAGTTCAAAGTATTTCACGAACTATTGAATCATTTTTAATACTGTATCTTACAAGTTGTTTTCTTTTGTTGTATATACTCATTTTTTAAGTATTTTTATAGGTTTCCAAAGGTGGTTTTATTATTCGCATATGTATTATTGCTCACCGTGTATATGACCATGAAGTGAAGAGTGAAACTAGAGGGACACCAGTTGGATGAGTGAATTAATTATGCTTTTACATATACCTTTTGTAACATTTTCATCGAATACCGTATACGGTACATAGGATATATATTTTGTTTGTAAAAACATATGTTATACACATATCATATGGTAGAAATTAAAAACTTGAAGTAGCTGCAGCAGAATGCGGTTCACGACTTTAAGAAGACCGCCACGTACACTACGATATTACCATCTATCGATGCTTTCTGTAAAGTCAAAACATTTCGAAGTTAATTACTTGCTCTCCAATTTAATTTGACGTATATTAATCTCGAATTAGCTTTACCAAATTATCATCAATTTTTAACCATTCTTAGGCCAATTCTAATTACCTTCAGGGTTTCTAGGGTATGTGTCGCCATCTAGCGGCAGAAGATGAGAACTAATTAAAGTGCTGTTTCAAAAGTGTGTAGTTCACCCTGTTCGCCGGAGAGATGGCGCCACTGGTTCGATTTTTTTTTTATTCAATTAATATTGATTTTATTAATTAATATGCTATATATTTATTATGTATTTATTAGCATTGACGTTATAGTGACTATAATATACTTTGTGGGTCCAAAGTTGTGGATTATGTGTTCAGAACAGTTTGTACACTATACTGCCTCTCGTCGATGATATAGGAAACATAGTATCACTGTGTTTGTTTCTTCCACTATCCGTTAAGTGGCACCAGTAGTACGTCTAAAGCAAAAGTAAGTAAAATGCAGTTCTGTCAGTACCAGAAATTATCCGCTAGATGTTGCGAGTGATCCCATTCAAAAATTGAATCCACAAAAAATTAAAGCATGTAAAAATAGAATTATCATAATTTTTGTTTACCGAGTCATTTAAAAATATCATTACGTTCTACTTTACGATGGTTTAGTCATGCAAAGCACTTTAATTATGAATGTAAATTGTAGCAAATAATAGTTCCGTTATCAGAGTCGGGTAATTTACATTAACTTAAACGGTATAAATTAAATTCTTAAAAGTAGGTGAATCATAAAAACGCCGATACGAATACTTTGAATCATCCGCAATCAAGCGTGATGCCGTATATTACAAAGTGCCGCATTCATTTGTGAATACATTGACATTCCCGTTTATTACTTTGTTATCACAAACACTGATTCAGTGTTTGACGGAACATATACGTACAAATTAATGCAGTCGCACATTCACTTATATATATGATATTACTCGTATATTCAGATATTGTTAATCGTTACTTACAGATGTAAACATACGGTACGATTAGTACGCGTATGTTCGCATTACAAACACATTAATACACATGAACAATCTACAGCAGACATGTATTAGATACATACCGCGCAGAGAAACTTGTGTAGAGAATACGATTACATGTTTGTGACAGACAATTAGATTCTACGTAACGACACAGGTAATATCGATTCACATATCTGTGCGAGCACGTGCATTTACCAGTATGGAAATGAAGTGCGTTTAGAACTCTTTCTAAAGATTAAAAAGTAATAGGAACAATAATCTGTTTCGGAACAAATGTGACAAGTTAATTCTGGGATTAAATGCATGTACGTGGCAAACAATAAATGCAAAACGTCCATTGTTCGCAATTCAATTATACTACTTTCTGTAATTTTATTGACCTCGAGGTCAAGGTTTTTTCCATTGCATCGTTAAATTCCGGTTTAGACATTCTTTTATTACAATGCATAGCCGCGCGTTATATTACCTCGTGTTATATTGCCGTGTGTTATATTATCATATTTTTATTTTGTCTTGTATTATATTGCCACGCTTTACATTGCCATGTATTATATTACCGCGTGTTATATTGTCTCGCACTATATTGCCACGTTTTATATCGCCACGACGTTGCTATGCGTTATATTACCGTGTGTCATATTATCTCGCACTATATTGCCACGCTTTATATCGCCATGTACTGCCATGCGTTGTATTGGCTGGCACTATATTACCACGTTTTATATCGCCACGACGTTGCTATGCGTTATATTACCGTGTGTCATATTGTCTCGCACTATATTGCCACGTTTCATATCGCCATGTACTGTCATGCGTTGTATTGGCTCGCATTATATTACCACGTTTTATATCGCCACGTTGCTATGTGTTATATTACCGTGTGTCATATTGTCTCGCACTATATTGCCACACTTTATATCGCCACGTATTGCCATGCGTTATATTGGCTCGCACTATATTACCACGTTTTATATCGCCACGTTGCTATGTGTTATATTACCACCGTGTGTCATATTGTCTCGCACTATATTGCCACACTTTATATCGCCACGTATTGCCATGCGTTATATTGGCTCGCACTATATTACCACGTTTTATATCGCCACGTTGCTATGTGTTATATTACCGCGTGATATTGTCTCGCACTATATTGCCATGTTTTATATTGTCACACGTTATATCGCCATATATTGTTGCCACATTGCTATGCGTTATGTTGTCACGCGTTACATTGCGACGCATTATTATTCCATGTTATATTATCAAGCATTTCATAGCGTCGCTTTATATAGCCTTATGTTATATAGCTTAACATACCCTTGAGTAATATAAGCGTGCGTTATTCACTTCCATTATATGAATAGGCATTGTTCAGTCCCGTAACGCTGATTAGATATCCTATCATACCAGTGATCAAGAAGTAATTGACATTTAATTTTGTTTTTCTATAAATGTGTACTAGTGTCACGTGGATGGCATTAATCATACATATTAAAAATTCAGCCGCTTTTCTTATCTAACAATAAACCGCCTGCACGGTTTACTGTTCCTGAGGGTGCAATAAGTATCCTCAACAGCAGCCGTGTGCACGAAACTCCCGCCTTTTTTGCGCGAATCCTCCGACGGACCATCGAAATAACGTATAACGTCGGATAAAATAAGAAACAGTTCGCACCGAGGAAGCTGCAAAATACGCATAAAAGTCAGGAGGGCGATAGCGTACGATGATCGATTCGAAAAGATCGACAACGTTTATTTTTGCATGCTGCGTTCGCAGCTTTTTGCCTGAACGTCTTTGGAATCGACGCGCGCAGCAGCGTCGTCGTTGCGAGGTTAGTGGAACGTCGACGGTATAAATCGGGCGCTCGTTAAAACGTGACTTACGGCACTTTCACGACCGGCCGAAGTTAGCCGCGTGTTTGCAGCATTCTCCGGCTCTCCCTCCCATTCCTTCGATTCTTACGCTATACACACGCTATCTCTTCTTTCGTTCCCTCGATTTTCTCGGTTACGTTGCCGATAAAGTCACGACACGGCGATACAAGTGACAACGACACCTTTTAACTATTACTGCGCTCAGGTATTCTCGAGTCGAATACCGGTCGATTACGTTCCAAACTTTATGCTATACTTTCACAGATACCTTTCGTTCTTTCGAAATCATTTTTCTTGTCTATTATCGTGTTTAATTTAATTTGAATAATTGGATATATTTGCTTTGTAAAATGTATCAATTTTTAGCAAAAATCCGATTCGATATTTCCCAGCTAGATAATTTCCCAATTCGATAACTTCCAGACTCGATAATTCCCTAATTCGATAACTTCCCGATTCGACAATTTTCCAATTCAGTGATTCCCTGATTTACCAACATCGATTCAATAATTCCCTGATTTGATTATTTCCCAAATCGATAGTTCCCCGATACGATCTAATAGTTTCGTACGGGCGAAGCCTTAAACGAGCGCAATATTCCGATATGTAAGACAACGATAGAACACTCGATGGTCGAGAGCCCGATGATCCCAGGTTGCTCTATTAATAGTCTGACCTTCCTGGTGCTCTTTAAGCGAATGTGTAAGATATATGTAACAGTTTATAACACGCCTATGATAGGATTTTAATAATTGATCCGCAAATAGAATTGTAAATTTTACGCGATAACTTGCATATTTGATACTGTATATTGGTTAACCTTGACCGAAAGTGATCAAGCGAAAATAAACTTTGTGTAACTTTGTTGACGACGCTTGTGTCACCGCAACGATAGGATACGAAAGTAAAATGGGATCGTTCGTGGTCAGACTTCCGAGTCACTGGGAAACAATCGATTATAATCTACTTATACGTCGTACACTGTACAAGTAGCCATGTTTAGTATGGCGCATGGTGTTATAGATTTTTAACACGGTAGTAGCAAAGAGTAATACTTTGTGTAATACGAAACGCTGTAGCGCATTCTAAAATTCTAGAATTATACTACAATCTCGAAATTAGACGTGTCGAGTGTATTAAAATGTCGCTTTTTACCCGTACCAGTGGGGTGCTAGTAATTTCTTCAGCGCTGTTCCGTGCGACAGTTGCGTCGAGAAAACGCGAGGAAAAAGAAAGAGGTACGGAGTTACGTTTCACCCTGGACTTGCTTAGTGGATTCATCAGTGTGGATACCTCTGCATATCTGAATAAATAGGTGAAGACTTGTGAAAAAGTACATTCCTCGGGTGATTCATTTGTCTCATGAGGATGATATAGGAGGCTTGTAAATTCCGTTCCTTCATTTGTCTCAAATATTTTAAATTATTCGGACAAATTTCTTCCATTTTATGAAGTTCTAAAGAAATTAGTATAAAATTTAGTGGGACTTCACAGGGTCACTTATCAAACTTAGAAAGTTTGTACTTCGTTTTCCATCTTGATATTTCTAGATATCGATATATGTAGATCTTGATATTCTCAGATCTCAATATTCCTGGATATCGATGTGCTTTTCGTTATATCTACATTGTGATATTTCTAGACTTCGATGTTCTTAGATATCGACATGATTAGATTTCGATATCTCTAGATCCCAACATCTTTAGATACCAACATTCCTAGACGTCGATATCTTCAGATTTCGATATCCCTAGATTCCGAAATTCCTAGATCCC